GAATAACCGTTTGCAGCTGCGTTTGTGCATTTGAAGTTTAGGAGGAAGATGAGGAGTGACATGGAGGTGGGAGAGAGCAAGGCAGGGACTGGATGCCAGGATTGTGAACAGAAGGTTCTCTCTCTCTCTCTCTCTCTCTCTCTCTCTCTCTCTCTCTCTCTCCTAATCTTTATTGTTGAAAGTATTGCATAGGTCCCCCTTCTCCTCATTATCTTCTCCCTCTCACTCCCATTCCCTCCCCAGGCCCCCACCACCACATTGTCTGTCTCCATGTGTTAGTCATATATGCAGACAAGTTCATAGGTAGATCTCTTCCCACCCACCCTTCCCTACCTTTCCTCTGAGGTTCCATGGTCTGTTCATGCTTCTATCTCTCTGGATCTATTTTTGTTCATCAGTTTATTTGGTCCATTAGCAATGCAGACTGGTGCAGCCATTATGGAAAACAGTACAGAGTTTCCACAAAAAATTAAAAATGGAACTCCCATTTGACCCAGTGATCCCGCTTCTAGGAATACATCCTAAGAAACCCAAAACACTCATCAGAAAGATGCATGCACCCCTATGCTCATAGCAGTGCAATTTACAACAGCTAAGTTTTGGAAACAGCCTAAGTGCTCATCAACTTACAACTGGATAAAAAAAAACTGTGGTACATCTACCCCCATGGAATGCTATGCAGCCTTGAAAAAGAAAGAACTCTTATCATTTTAAACAGCAGGGGTACTTCCAATACGGGGTTAATCTCCAAAATGTATAGTGACTCATACAACTTAACAAAAGAAAGACAACAACACAATTGAAAAATGGGTCAAGGACCTCATAGGAAAGTCTCCAAAGTGGACAGACAGATGGCCAAGACGTGCTCTCCTGAGGGTGGTCATGATGATGTCAATGTGTGTTAACCCACTTGCACAGGAACAATCGACGGAGTGCTTAAGGCAAAGATGGGTGACCATATCCAGTGGGAGTCTGAGGGTCCAAGTCCTAATTATTGTTTCTTTAAATTAAACCTTTATTGTTGAAGGTATTACACATGTCCCTTTTTTCACCCATTGACACCTTCTAGCCCAGCCCTGGGTGCCCAGGTCTTCACCATCCTATTGTCTGTGTCCCTGGATGATGCACATATGCATACGAGTTTGTTGGTTGACCTCTTCCCACCCTCCCACCCGACCATGACTTCCCTCTGAGATTCCCCAGTCTGCTCCTTGCTTCTAGGTCTCTGGATCCATTCTCTTCATCAGTTTATTTTGTTAATTAGGTTCCACATATGAATGAGGTCATGTGATACTTGTCTTTCTCTGACTGCCCTACTTCACTTACCATGATACTCTCTAGGTCCCTCCATGCTGTCCCAAAGGGTAAGATATCAGTCTCTTTTACTGCTGCATAGTATTCTGTGGCATAAATGTACCACAGCTTATTTATCCAGTCATCTACTCATGGGCATTGGGGCTGTTTCCAGATCTTAGCTATTGCAAATTGTGCTGCTATGAATATAGGGGTGCATACGTTGTTTCTGATAGGTGTTTGGGGTCTCTTAGCATATATTCCTAAAAGTGGGATCACTGGGTCAAATGGCAGTTCCATCTTTAATTTTTTGAGGAAATTCCATACTTTTTCCATAATGGCTGCACCAGTAGGTATTCCCACCATCAGGGTGTGAGGATTCCCTTTGCGCCACATCCTTGCCAGCACTTGTCATTTGTTGATTTGTTGATGGTAGCCATTCTGACAGGTGTGAGCTGATACCTCACTGTCTTTTTAATTTGCATCTCTCTGATGGTCAGTGACTTTGAGCATTTTTCCTATGTGTCTTGGCCTTCTGAATGTTCCCTTAGGAGAAATGTGTATTTAGATCCTTTGCACATTATTTAATTGGATTGTTTGTCTTCCTTTGGTTCAGTTGTATGGGTTTCTTATACATTTTGGATATAAACCCTTTATCACATGGATCTTTGCCAAATATGTCCTCCCATAATCTGGGCTCCCTTTTTGTTTTGTTGATGGTTTCTTTTGCTGTGCACACTTATTATTTTGATGTATTCCCATTTGTTTATTGTCTCCTTAGTGTCCTTTGTCCTGGGAGGTGTATCTGTAAGCACAATGCTATGAGAGATGTCTGAGATTTTGCTGCCTATGGCTTCTTCTAGGATTTTTAGGGTTTCCCTACTCACATTTAGGTATTTTAACCATTTTGATTTTAATCCTGTGTATGGTATACGTTCGTGTATGGTTTCATTTTTTTTTTTTTTTTTGCACATTTATCTGTCTGATTTTCTCAACAATATTTATTGAAGGGACTGTTGTGACTGCATTGTATGCTCTTGCTTCCTTTGTCAAATATTAATTGAGTATAATGGCTTGGGTAGATTTCTGGTTTCTCTGTTCTGTTCTATTGATGTATATGCCTGTTCTTGTGCCAGTGCCAGGCTGTTTTGATTAATATGGCTTTGAAATATAATTCAATATCTGGTATTGTGACCCCTCCACCTTTCTATTTCTTTCTCAAGGTGTTGTGGCTAATTGGGGTCTTTTTTGGTTCCATATAAATTTTTGCAGTATTTGTTGTAGAT